TCAGGACTGGGGTGGTGACAGCTTTCAACAGGCTTCACACTCTCCATGCAGAATTGGACGGTGAGACGAGCATGGACAATGAGTAAACAGGGATCAAGGTCCAGTGGCCTGCCACAGACCAGAGAGACGCAACCAGAAAACAGGTGAGACAGAGGATCTGGTGACACCCACCGCCCCATCGAGCATGGACAATGTCATCCTTGATGGTCTGCAGCATTTTCCTAAGGGAAATAAAAACTATTGAAGGCTTCTAAGCAGAAATGGCTCACTTCTCAGCTCTTCTGCTATGATCAACGATAAACAGAAATATCTTGGAAACAAAGTTCTAGGAAACTAACATGGCAACTATGGTTAGACTGGGGGAGCAGAGGCTGCTTCCAGAGCTATTAAAATACTGAAAGCATGAATTTGGATGCTATAAAAACCTTAACAGTCTCTATAATGCCATGATAAAATATGCAAAGATTTTTTTAACATTTAATAAATGTTAACTTAAAAAATTCTTACCAAGACCTCAGTCATGAAAGTCAAATCCTTTACAAGATACTGAAGTTTATTATAAACTTACTTTACTCATAATAAATGTAATATTTAAGAAAAGTGAGTATGAATTCTGAAATATATACTTTAAACAACTCATTTTCTTTATTGAAACTTTCTGAATTAAATTACTTGTGCCCCAACATTTCTAATGTTGCTCTTAAGCCCTATAAGGATAATTTGGGGCTAAGTGCTGGCTGCCACCTTCCCTCTTGGGTCAATTAAATCTATAACAATGTATTGGTCACTGGTTGTTCAGAGGTATACTATAAATTTATTAATTATATTCTCATAAAATATATATAGTATTTTGCATTTTTCTATAATAAAGACAAGATAAATTATAGTGACTTTTTTGATTTGTCAGAAATAAGCTAACCTTTGTATTTGAGCACAAGTAATAATGTATAAAAATGAGATGGGAATCAGGCTGGGTCTCATACCCCTTATCTGATGAGGCATCTCCAACCCCTTTCCGATCCAGAATTCTGTAATCTATTGACTATTTTTTTTCTGAACTGCATTTTAAAATAATAAAGTCCAACTACTATGATTTTTACTTTCCTAACAAAATATTTACTGGAAAATCTGAGAACCATGGGGGGTCATGAAATTAAACTGTAACAGGCTATGTTACTTATACGTTGCCAGCTTTATGTCATTGCTACTTAATGCATTTAACATAATGGCATCTGTTAAGGCTCTCTAATTTTAATCAAATTATATATAAATACAATGATTTTTCAAATTACAAGTGATGGCATACATATAAAAATCATTCACATAGTTATACTTAACAACACTACACCAATAATACTGGTTAATGGAGTTAATATTGTAACATTTATCTTAAAATAAGGAAGATAAATGAGATGGCAAAATTTTCCATTATGACGAAAGTGGTTTAAATGCCATGACAGGAATCATCTTAGCCTCACAAGATTACCTAGTATTTCAGAGTCCTATTCAATATGTTATAGCCAGAATGAACATTATAAGCACATATTCTTTATCTCCTTCACTCCAGCCTACTTCCTAGAAATGAATTTCTGTCCTTAGTAAAGTTCTCCTGTCTTCTTTTCAGATGGACATTTTTTACCCAAAATTCAGCATTAGGTTTCTGAACAGGAAAACATCTTAGAGACACATGTACCATAAACTACACTCTGGGAAAGAATAGAAATAACTGATATAGCTCAGCCTTGGCTCCAGATTTTACTCAGTGTTTGAGAACCACGCAAATTTTCTAGTTTTAGGCATACAATTCTTAAACTGACATATTACTACACACACAACAGACACACACACACACAAAACACACACATTTATAACTTCAAAGGAAATAATAAAGATTATTATTAACTAATATAAACAATGTTGAAATGTTTCCTGGTTATAAAAAATAGTTTGCTTAAAGAGGAATACTCTCAAGCAAATACAAACATTGTTTTTCAAAGGTATGTTTATTAACATCTAGGAAAAACTGAAAACCCCACCCAGCCGTGGGCCCGGGAGAGAGCAAATGCAGCCTGCAACAGGACGGCCATGAATTCAGTATTGTGCCCCACACTTTATAAGCAGCACACATTTTTAAGACATTTTCCTATTTTGAAATTTAATATAAAATTTTCCTTGTCTCTTTTCTTTCACAACTAGTCCTTTCTCTTCTCTACTTCACATCTGCTAAAAGTCCCTTATACAGACACAAAGACAGAGGACTGGGCAAGGAAGGAACAGTCCTCTATGAAGTTTTTAATCAGAATTTTAAATTATAAGACTCAAGTGGAAGATTCTCAGGATTATTAGCTATTTTTACCTTACACACAATCTAGTCTTCCAAACTAGGAAATATATATATGTAAATTTTACAATATTTAAATCTAGACAAAAGCAAATTATCATGACTCAAAATAACTGAAGATTTAAAGAAAGGTTGTCCTGGTAACCAAATATTGGTGGGGTACTAACTGACATCCATGGGGACTGGAGGAGAGCGAGGAGATGCAGGCCTGGCGTTCTCGGATCATCTCATTATTGTATAATGAGGAGCTCTGCTCTGGGAACATCAGCTCAGCTACGTTCACATCTCTTGTCCTCCTCTCTTCATCTCCCTTTCAGTTCTTAATTAGGCCTTAAAGAGCTCACACTGCCCTTTCAACTGGCTACTGCTCCTGCCTAAACACCGAGCCTCCACAGACAGGTGTTGGCATCAGCATAGCCGACATACAAACCTAATTACACAATACTCCGTCCAGAAGGAGAAAAAATAACTTGGTGGACGGCTATTACCGGAGAACTTCATGTAAATTACTTCAAACATCTTATAATCTTCAACATAAAAATTGTTCAAATACTTCTCCTGAAAACTAGTCTGTAAGGGCACTTTCTCCTCTTAATTGTATCTTGCAGTACATTAGCAACACCTAGTAATCCTTTAACTGTCATTTAGAATAGTTAGATTCCAGAGAAAAATAATCACACATCAAGGATTCTTTTATCACCTTTAAATCCTTGAACTAAAACAATTTTCACATTTTATTTCTTTAAAGATTTCTGAGGATGTTTTAACAGCAATAAATTATAAGATTTAGAAAAGTACATCTACAAGCACACAGAAATTGTAATTAAGGTTACCTAATAAACAATAGCTACATATTAAATCGATTTTTGATGTTGCATTTTGTTTGAGATTAAATAACAGCCCAGTAGAATTCTTTTCACTATCTGATCAAAGGCTGACTTCATATAATCTGACAATGCTTCAAGACTGCCATATTATAAAAGACCTAAGTATTTATGAAACATCAAAACTTAAAAATCATTTACATAAAACAGCAAAAGCATAATCTAAAGTCCTGTGCATCCACAGTGTCTTCTTTACACACACATCTTCACTTAAAATGGTTTATAAAATAAACTTTACCCTACCTTGACTTATTTTAGGAAAACCATATACTAGAAATTTTGATGTGCAATTACTAGAAAAAATTTTAATACATCTGGATCACACACATTAAGGGCAGATGGTTTGAAACAGCGGCCATGGGTATCTTTCTGTTACTTGGTAGGAATGTAGTTTTATCCAAAGAACATCTGCCTATATTTTTATAAAGTGATTTTTCTCCAGGTCAACATCTTAGGAGACTAAGAAGTAACTGATCTCTCCTATACAATCCTGAACTTCAGATAACAATAAAACAAAGTTAAGTTATCTCAACAGTCCCTGCAAACGACACACATTCATTTAACTAACTGCCACCAATTCTGGGATAGCTCTGCTTTGGGTCTGATTTGGAAGGTAAGTATCCTGAGGTATCTGTCTTTCCTAAGCCTTGCCTGGTAAACCCCAGTCTCTTACCATGCTGCTTTCCTATTGTGTGTTAGCAAGCAGCTTTGCTTTGTATTCAATCCCTGCACAAACCACAAATGTCAGTCTACTTTCACAACTATAATGTGGACTCTGATATACAGCTTTCACGTCAAGGTCACAGGTTACAAACAAGCATGTATACATTAGATAGATGCCGACTGTAACTGCAGCAGCTTCAACTGTCTCTGAGCACATTCAGACGCCACAATCACTTGTATAATAAAGGCAAAGTCTCAATTTCACTGTCTTCTTTCTCCCTAAACCACCACACTGATCAACAATACTACTGCCACCAAGGCAGAAAACAGAGGGGCTTGGGGAATGCGTGCTATAGTGAAGCTAGGCTTGTTCTCTGTTCATCTTGCAACCCCTTGTCAACTTACCGGGATTTTCCTGAGGTCTTCACTGCTTGTTGGATTCATATGAAAACTAAGTAATAAAGCATAAAATAAAGGTTAATTATGGCACAGTCTATATGGTAAGAAACAGAAAAACAGAAAAATTTTAATCCACACTGTAACATGTCTGTCTAAAGTCCTAACTTAGGTAAGTGAAATTCAATTCAAAATGTAGAAAGCAAAACAGTCTTTACTCAACATCCTTAAAACATTTTCAGGTTTAAACCCTGAAACAAAGTCCTCCAGTTACCATAATCAAAGAACCATCAATTTCAAATACATAGTTTCTAAATATTCTTAAGCATAGTGGCTTTGCCAGAAAGATACTTCATAAAAGGAGTTCTTATAATATATTCCTCATCTCATATAGACATAGCTCAACCTTTTTGATATATTACTGTGGAAAGCTGAGTAAATTTAGCTTTAGAAAGCTTATAAAATAAAAGGGCTCAAGCACCCTTTGTCTAAAATGTCAACTATATTGGAAAAAATAACTTTCAAATCTTACCTTGTCAATGAGAATGAGTCCACAGTGGCAAACTATTTCTGTCATTAATGTGATTCCTAAGAAGCTAGCTTCCAAAATTTTGTCAGAAAGAGACCAAAACAAAACAGATCTTGTTCATTTGGAGACATCACAGCAGAATGCCACAGCTACTTTTTCCTTTGATACGAGCCCATTAGGAAAGAGGCTACAACCACCCCAGAGAAGCTCAACTTCAAAGCCATCTGATGAGAAACTATTTCATCGGTGCTCTTCCACTTTAAATTGTACCCAGTATTTAAACACTTATCCCCAGAACATCTACAAAGCGTATTAATGTCCTAGGAGTCTTTTTTATTACACATACACACATTAAAAAGAAGACTTAACTATAAGACATATTTTTCCCCATTATCTGCATGCTACATTTAAAAAATAGTCTCCACTGAAGACTTAGGGAATTCACTTTTAAAATCTTGACTGTGTGACAGAAAGTGTGAACACTGAAAGTCTTGTCTGGAACACATCCCTAATTACAGGTGTATGTCATGTTCCATACTGCAAACCCTAAAAGGCATGACGCTTGTAGGACCATAGCAAGAGAATTCCCTATGTAGCCAGGGTACACTTGTTATGAGTCAGGTGTGCACAGCCTGATTACAAGAACTGGGTGTGGACCTTTCCCAGGAAGAGAGCCCACAGAAGCACTTCAGCACTGCAGTGGGGCCGGGTGACTGGGCAGACAACCATGAGACACGTGCTGGGACCGGCACTGCACACTGACAGGCTTATGTGGCCACCACACTTCCCCATCCCTGTATGTCCCCGTCTGCACTGTGTTCTGCAAGGGTCATAGAATCACCCATGCCTCAAAACCCTCACAAATGAAAGGATGAGAACAAAGTCCCTGTGCCTACAGTTCTGTACTGTGGCAGCAACTGCTGATGGGTAGTTTCTGCTTTCTCTCGTTCTCAGTCTAAGCTAGGGGAATGAAGGGGCCTGTGAGACGCGTGTCCCCTTGCTCCATGACCTCACACATGCTTCCTGATAAGCCCATGGCACTAAACCCATATCCACTGGTGGACAGTCCCATGGGTATCATGGTTACATGCAGGGATGCCACAACACCAAAGTGCTCATGAGCGGAGAAGGGGCCAAGGGCCCTGGAGCTGAGGCTCTATCCATCAGCCTGCTGCTTTTGACCTTAAACAAGTTACTATATCTTGGCTCCTTCACCTGTAAAACCATGATGGCAAAAATGTCTCTCAAACAAGACTGCTGCTCTGGCTAAAGAACACGAATGGACTAGCGTGGAAAACAAATAGCAGAAAGAGCATGCTCCTTGTATGATTTCATCAACATCTGAGGTGCTTTATATGGACTCTTAAACTCTTTATCAAAATTAACTGCTACTTTCATGCCAGTTAAGAGGGCCATAGGTAGAAAATGTTCTACCTTCCATAACTTCATTTTTAAAAAACAAGGGATATTAGACAACTAGTGTGAGACCTTCCACTGCTGACTGGTAGAATTTGACGCCAATATCTGTCCTAACGGGGACACCAGCCCCACGCCTGTTTCCAGTTGACAGGTTGTTGTGAGTGCTGGATGTAAAGCTGAAATCCCAACACAGGCATTTTGGATTAAAAGGCCAGCCTCACTTCATTCACAGGAAGAAGGGGGTAGGGTACCCTAAAATTCCCAGGGCAAGCCTGGGAGAGTCCTGTTCTCTCACAGCACTCATTGAAGAAGACCTATTTCATGGGAAAAGCAGCATTTGAGACTCCATGAAAGACAGAGAGGCTTGGCTGTCTACAAGAGGGCTCGGGACACATGGGGAAAGAGCAATGAGTGCTAGGCAGTGCCATCACCACAGGACTCTGGCGCACAAACTGCAGGGGCAGGGTGCTCCTGACTCTTTTTTAAGGCCAAACTCAAGGACCTCAGACCTTCTCCATGAAGCAGCCAGCATGTTTCCCAACAATATTAGTCTCCTCTCAATAAGATATCAACGTACCACATCTGAGGTACTGAGCTACTCTGTTCTACCCCAAGAATAAAAGCCGTGACTGCATCTGCTCAATGTCTGTCTCCAGGAGGAATTATTGACCTGAGAAATAACAAGGATTATCAGGGAACACATTTAGATCAGATTCTTATCAAAATCACAAAACAACATGAAGTGTTGAGTAATTTTTGCTCAGGAAGCTAAAATGAAACTCAGGAATCCGAGAAAGAGCTGAAGATTCACTTGTGGTGATGGCATGGTAAGGGAGGGAGGGGGGGTATTCAGGGCAGCAGCCCAGGCCCTGCCCTCTGTACCTGCGCATGCATGCACATGGGTCTGAGCTTGCCTGTGAGCTGAGGTTCGCCACTCTGCACCATGTGCTGAGTGAGGCTCCCACACTGGTATTGTCTGAAATCCAAAGGCTGAGCCCTCCATTGTGGTCTGCTTTGTATACATACACTGACGTGTCAAACACATGACTAACTCAGTCATTCATGGCTGCCTTTTTTTTAATCTGTCCTTACATGGGGGAAAAAAGAGTTAACTGAACTGGATTGAATTAGTGTGGTGCAAAATAAAATGTCTCTATTATTGAAGTGTGGCACCAATTTGTGTTATCTCTTTCTTTGGGCTGGTGTCCTCATGTCAGACAAGATATTGAATAATACCATTTGACTGCTCAACTGAGCAGCTGACAAGTTAGGGGGCTGCGTTTTCACTCAGGTAGAAAATAACCCCAGATATACTCATGGTGAAGGGGTAGTCTGTATGACCTAAACCCCAGAACTTAGGTTTAAGTTTAGAAAAAGACCTGAGGAAGTTTGAAGGAGCCACAGAATTTCTAAACCGATAAAAAGTATTTAACTCAGATGCATAAACATATTTTAAATGGATAAAATGTCTTAGCCTTAACATACTCAACTTTTTAAATAAAAGCATCTGATATTTTTTATCTGCAAATTCATTTTAAAATTCTGAAAAATGTTTACAAGTAAACTATACAATTTGAAATATAAACTATTGTGCTTCTTAAATATTATTTTATAGAAATTATCAGCTTTCCTATAATATTTAATTTATCTTAGAGTAAGGAGCAGATAAAAACTGAGTAGAAATTAAAGTCTGTGTTATACCAGTCCTCCACCCATAGGCACTAAAAATAGACCAGGGTCTATGAAATGATGGACTTGCTTGCTATACCAGTCCTCCAGCCATAGGCACTAAAAATAGACCAGGGTCTATGAAATGATGGACTTGCTTGCTACACTAGTGACCCTGGCTTCTGGTGGCATTCAAAATGTTTGCTTCCTAAAAGCAGACACATTCTTTAAAGCAGGAAGCTCTAAGAAATTGAAGAACTATTCAGAACTATTTAACAAGCATGAAACACTTGCAAAGACAACAACACCTGAGAACAAAGGCCTAGTACAAGCAGATACAACTATGTAACCCCAGGCTTCAGAAGGCTATCAAGTATGAGGCTACCGTGGCATGGACTGCTCTTTCCAAAGCTTAGGAAACATCTCATTCTTCCTATTTCTCTTTCTAAACACCATCACTGCTCAAATGACAAAGTCTATTTTGGCCTGCAGCTTTCTGCATTTTCCATTTAATTTGTGAATACAAATTACTGACAACCCCAGAGATGTGCCACCTGGCAGGGAGAGGGGGCAGTTTCTTCAGACACTGGTCAGTACCTTACTGTGTGAAGGAAGCAAGTGTAACTCTAAACCACCAAAGGAGAGCTCCTGACAGTAATTGCTTTCCAAGGTCAGCATCCCATTGATCCTTTGTAAGGGAGAAGAGTCTAGGGACAGGTTAACATGTACGAGAATATGAGAGAAACACGCTCTGCAGCACTGGGCTGGTATATACTGGAGAGCAGAACACAGACCCAGTCCTCACAGCAAAAGGAATTGCTCTTCTACACTGCAATCCCCACACCCCCAACACTGATTCTTTGATGACGAAGTTCTTTTACCAGGGCAGTTGGCTCACTTTCCAGCCTCGCCTTCCATTTCACCAAAGGCTAGTCTTTCTTTTTGAGACCTTTTTTCTGTTCAGAATGCCAACCTAAGTTTCTTGCCGCCTTCCCAATGTCCCCTTCATTGCCACCTTCCTCCTTTTATCCTTATGTGGGGAATACCAGCTATTTCCTAGGAAAGTGGCCAGACCTCTCTCTACCCCACCTTGATGGCTTCACTTCTCCTGCTGCTTTAGTGGCTACCACATTATGGGTGAACGACTGAGATCTTCTCTCTACAAATGAAACTTCTTTACCCTCTAGAATACTGAGCTCACTGCAGATTCAGAGGAATAATCCTACCTGCACCTCAAGGTGGATGCGCCCACACTGACTACCCCTTTGCCTTTTCCATCAACTGTCTCCTGGGCACCCAAAGTGAAGCCATCAGTCTTTCCCTGCAAAGTCCCAAAGATCCAGTCTCCCTGGGACCCAGCCTAGATCCCTCCTACTTGCTGCTCACGTGTGTGCTGCCTTTCTGATCATAGGAACACGATCACACCTCTATTCACCCCA